CATAGACATCTACAACGGCTGCCCCACCCTTCAAACCGAAACGCATTACTGCTTCACGGCAGCAATGGGCAGGGCGGTGGTACCCACCCGCGCGGACTCACCAGAGGTCCTACCACCAGTAAAAAAAATTTTAAACTAATACAATGAAAAATTTTAGTATTTTTCCCTATTGGTAGCCTAAGGGACTATTTCAACTTCACGCAACTTTTTTTACTGGTGGTAGGACCTCTTGTGAGTCCGCACGGGTAGGTACCACCACCCCGCCTATTTCTGCCATGAAGCAGTAATGCGTTTCGGTTTGAAGGGTGGGGTAGCCGTTGTAACTATACTGAGACCTTAGAACTTATAGCTCAAGGTGGGTGGCGCATATACGTTGTAGATGTCTATGGGCTCCAGTGATCACTTAACACCAGGTGAGCTGTGAGCTCGTCTACCCATCTAAACAATAAAATTCAATCAAATCATTGTCCCATCGTCTGGGTTAGGAACATAACTTGTAAACCGTTTCACAGTGTATCACTGTTGCGAACGGACAACGCTACGACATGGCGACAATCTCCGAAACTCTGTAAGGCTCATAGATATTTCATATATGGCACATTGGCACATATTATATATGTAGCGTTGCAATTGAAAATAGTATTGAATGATTACAACTCTTGATTGTGGGAGTACCGGATACATTAACTAATCAGTAAAGAGGTTACGTAGATTATATAAGTATCATCAATGTGTACCTACTGCGAATGAACAAAAAAGCTGGTTGTGGTCTATATGGTTTAAATAATGAAATTTAATTTTAATGAAATAATGGAAGTTTGACGACTTTATATAATACATTATACGTTTTTTAAGTATTTTAAATTAATGAGATAAACGTGGAATTCATCAGGTTTTCTTGTAGTTGGATTATTAGTACGAAATTCACAAAAAAAAATCGTAGCTGCCTACGGGATTTGAATACAGACACAGTGGCAACACTGAATACGCGTACACCAGGCGTTTAGACCACGACAATCTCCACACGGATTTCCTCCCGGATTAGGAGGAGAAATCTCACACCCCCGATCACCCTCTTCGGCCAACTCATACCCTGGGCCAGGAAGGTCAAGTACCTGGATGTCACCTTGGATCCATCCATGATATTCCGCCCACATTTAAAATCAGTCCGCGACCGTGCCGCGTTTATTCTCGGCAGACTCTACCCCATGATTTGTAAGCGGAGTAAAATGTCCCTTCGGAACAAGGTGACACTTTGCAAAACTTGCATAAGGTCCGTCATGACTTACGCGAGTGTGGTGTTCGCTCACGCGGCCTGCACACACATAGACACCCTTCAATCCCTACAATCCCGTTTTTGCAGGTTAGCCGTCAGAGCTCCGTGGTTCGTAAGGAACGTCGACTTACACGACGGCTTAGACCTCGAATCGATCCGAAAATACATGAAGTCTGCGTAGGAACGTTACTTCGATAAGACATAAGACGATGACACGACATTCGACATATACTTCGTCATGACAATCGCCTTATCGTTCCCGCCTCTGACTACTCCCCGAATCCTGATCACGCAGGAGCCAGTCATCGTCGTCGTCCTAGACACGTCCTTATGGACCCATCAGATCCAATAGCCCTTGCATTAGACGCTTTCAGCTCTAACACTAGGAGTAGAGACCCCGGTAACCGTACTCGTACCGTATTGATGTTAAGTGGACATAGTTTCTAACCATAAAATCTCACTAACACACAAAAATTCTACACAATTCCTATATCAGTCGATGTTTCTCCACATATACATATTAGTACAACACTATCGGCTATTTCTATCAGTTTTAGGAGAAAAACAAGAAACGCGCAATGGGCTCGACTACGAAGGGAAAGAGCTTTGACCAAGCGAGCGTTTTTGCTTAACTGCACGAAACCTAGCAATGAACTTTTCATTACTTATATTAGCAGCCTTATCTTCATTACCTATAATATATTATTATATCAAATATCGCCTCTTTGATTAAGAATTCCAAATTAAAATTTATAAATTCATTTAGCCAGTACATTTCAGTTTTGAAAACCGTCATTCATTTGTTTTTTCCTCGTTATTTTTTTCTATGACGTCGCTTATTACCGCACAATGGAAAACATGAAATATCGGTATATTTACGAGTAAGAGTTCTACCGTGGCACCAGTGTTGCAGAAACAGCTCGAAGGATTAATGATGTGTACTGATGTCGCAAAAGAAACCACGGTACGTTTTTGGTTTCAGAACCAACTCCGGCCAGAGACCAAGGTGGAAAATTAAAAATTAAAGTCTGTTGTGGAAGCGGACCCATCACAATGCCTTTCAGAGAAAGCTGCACGCTTCCGGGTAAGTGATAAAATTGTATTAATCCACTTGAAGCAAATCGGGAAAGTAAAAAAACTTGAACGATGGGTAAGTACCTCATGAATTGAGTGAATCGAAGTTGCAAACACGCTTCGACTGCTGTGTTACTTTGCTCAACCGACACAATAATGAAAGGATTTTAACTCGAATCATTACTTGTGATGAAAAGTGGATACTGTACGATAATCAGAAGCGCTCGTCGCAATGGCTGAACCCTGGAGACTCAGCCAAATCCTGCCCTAAACGAAAAATTTACTCATAAAAAGTTACTTGTAAGTATTTGGTGGACTTCCATTCCGACAGGAGCCCTCTTCTTCGATATAGCGAAGGCGTTCGACAAAGTCTGGCACAACGGTTTGATATACAAACTGTATAACATGGGAGTGCCAGACAGACTCGTGCTCATCATACGAGACTACTTGTCGAACCGTTCGTTCCGATATCGAGTCGAGGGAACGCGTTCCCGGCCCCGTCACGTCACAGCCGGAGTCCCGCAAGGCTCCGCCCTCTCCCCGTTACTATTCAGTTTGTATATCAACGATATACCCCGGTCTCCGGAGACCCATCTGGCGCTCTTCGCCGATGACACCGCCATCTACTACTCGTGTAGGAAGAAGGCGTTGCTTCATCGACGACTTCAGACCGCAGCTACCACCATGGGACAGTGGTTCCGGAAGTGGCGCATCGACATTAACCCCACGAAAAGCACAGCGGTGCTCTTCAAAAGGGGTCGCCCTCCGAACACCACGCTGAGCATCCCTCTCCCGACTAGGCGCGTCAACACCCCCGCCCCCGCCGTTCGCCCAATCACGATGTTCGACCAGCCCATACCGTGGGCCCCGAAGGTCAAATATTTAGGCGTCACCCTCGACAGTAGGATGACATTCCGCCCCCACATCAAGACGGTACGCGA